CTGATGATATTGTATACAGCTGGGTAACTAGTCGTAAAATCCCGGATGTGCGTTTCTACCTATTAGGGTCTCATCAGCTGGATGTACCTGCACCCCAGTGAGTAAGGTTGCTTTTACTGAGACTGTAATCCAGTACCCATCTCTTCAAACACTAAAGCGCTGTACAGTAGGCCAACGAGGCTTGAGGGCCACCTTTTGTGCAGTGGGTATCAACTGTTATTACTTAGTTCTTGTTATCTACCGTTGCTTTACTGATTCAGATAGCTCGATCTGTGTTGGCAGATGGGCTCCCATTTGGATGTTTTGATATTGCTGAATATTCATGATGATATATTCATCTCGGCAACTCACAGCAAAATCCAAGATGAATCTTCCATCTTATTTGGGACTCGTCAGTGGATGTGGACAGTGCTTTGACGTTTGAAGCGATGAAGAGGCCAATGAAGTCAAAAATAAAGGCGTAGTTAAGGAATTTTTTCGACAAACTACTTTCAGATTACTGATTTATATCCGCCTAATCAGTCAAGGGGATCTTAGATAGTCCAATTAAAATTCAGCTGCGATTTCTTTTAAAAAATCTAGGCCACTAAAAATATCAGATTGGTCGCTTACTCAAACATTCATGTAATTAATTTAACTAGTATAATAGTTTTCATAGAGAAGCAAATAAATCATACTCACAAGTTTATACATTAAAATACAGACCAAATTAGATTTCAGTATAAACTAATACGTCAAATATAATTAAATTGTATCAAGATTTAGAAGAAAAAAACAAGGAAAAGGTGATTTCGAAAATCTGTTCATCGTTCAATAGCGCTAATTTTCAGTCTTCCCTTAATTCATTGATTGAAATAATTTAAAAATAAAAAATAAATGACACTTTATATTCAAAAAAAGAACAAGACAGAAAACCTATATATTTGATGGATTCTCGTATACTTCTTAACTGAACAATAACTGACAATAGTAAGATAAGCCGATTGATTAATTTAGTCAGTATTTATGAAACGCTATTCTACCACCAACCCTCTATTCTTTCATTTTTCTCCTGATCTGTTTTGTTATTTTCTGTTCATTTCTTTCTTAAAAAAGATTTATATTCATGACATTTCGATCACCCTTTTAATACCTCCTTATATCTATTCACTAAAGAGTCAAGTGATCAATGTCACCAGCGAAATGTTACAATGACCATTGAATAGTCTTTTCTTTTTTGCCATACCTTTATGTCCTTGAATTAAAAGATTTAGGCGCTGAAGTTAAGGTCTATAATTATTGTTGTTCAAAAGTGGATACATCTTAAAATATCGGGGGATATATGTTCTACCCTAACTAGTTAATCCCTAACAGAATGCAACATTTTGTGTAATCGCTACCAAGAATGATTTCCATGAACTAAGTTAATAAGTCAAGTGGGGACGTACCCTTCAAGTTGAATGATAAGATCTGATATGTGAACTTGCTAAGTAATGAAATTTCGATCTAAAAAAAGGAAGATATACTATGGTCATTTTGGTCACCAATAAAAGTCTAGCTCAATGCAGCTATTTTAGAAAGCCTAAATGACAGTCAATGTGATGCTCCACATCCTTAATTCAGGTTGATTGGGATTGGGATGAGAAGCCGTGACTAGGTAGTCAGTCAGAATATGACCAAGTGAGAGTAATGCATCACGAACTCATCGGGCAGTTATGGAAATCCCTAGTGATTGAAGTGAAATAAAACTCTTGCAAGCAGCTGAGTCTCTTAGCTCATTTATTAGGGCACTAGGCTGGTAGCCCATTAGTAGCTGGTTCGAATCCAGCAGTAAACTAGATTTTTATTTCACCCCCAGTATCAACACGAATTCATCAAGTTGTGGAGGAAACTTGTAGTTCATGCTCTGAAAGGTAAGCTGTTATGCATCGATGACGATGTGTGACATGTCGTTGGAACGTCTGCCAGCTGAAATCATAGCTCAGAGAACTACTGACTCCGAAAATCCGTCAACTACTTATAAACTGATCAAGAAATGAAAAGAGATAATACAAACCAAAAATGATATGATTCACTTAGTAAAAGTCACCTTATCCCATCCTATCACTTCTTCGGAATACTCTGCTCCAGCCGCTAGATACAGAGTATAGTTGCATGATGAACTGTTTATTTAATCTAGTATTGGATCAATAATAGTGTATCATTTTGTGTTATATCAAGTAAAAAATGTAACACAGAATGATGCTCTGTCACAGGGCCCAAGTTTCGCGTTTATGCTACAGAAATTGTCAGAAGTTTGATGAAATACAATATATGAAACTGCTTTCACCTACAATTGATGTGAACCTTTTAGCAAACAGATACAATCTACAGATGATTGAAGCATACTAAAGGCGAAAGCTACCAAGATGTTTGACTTTGTTTTGCTGTGATTAAAATCCCAAGTGCTAAAATAAGAAACCATCTAGTCCTGTCCAAAAAAGTAAATTTATCTGATATATGTTTGTCTTTCCATCTGGTGAAATAACTCTTGACACCCTTGTCTTACCGGTATGGGGATACATATTACTGAAAGACGTACATCACCTGTAACCATAAAATAACTATAAAATTTATACCCATATTTAAGTGGTCTCTCAGGTCAGAAAAATGTATTTGGCAGTGTTAGTCGGACATTGTAAATGTTGGTATAATAATACCTTTATTATTCCAGTGCTAAAATATCCAAAATATTCACTTTGGAGATTCGTGGGATTTGTTTATTGATTTCCAGTTGGTATTCATCATAGACTGATATCATTTAGAAAAACGTCAAAAACCTGGGGGTACCGAACAGCCGTTTCGTTCTGGTTCATCAGTGCGCACCCATAACGGTCCCAGGGATTGAACTCAAAGCCTTCAGGTTCCAACAAACCTAAAACCAATTAGTAAATTCCCACAAACCTCCAAACTAAATTAATCTAGTGCCCACTGGTGATAGGCTTTGATAGATGATTCCCAAAGTTACAATGAGGAGTCGTGAGAAGTGAAGGCAATCAAGTCGAACACGAGGGCAGCTACTCAGTGACGGCATTGTATGGAGAATTGACAGAATAGTAGATGTTGACCATTGGACTCCAACTCAGTGGCTCAGTAGTAATGTGCTGGTGGCGGGACCTGAAGGTTCCGGGTTCTACCCCTGACAAGGTCACAGGTGTGCACTGCTGAGCAGTTCTATACTAGTACGAAAGAGCTGTTTAGTGCTCCTAGGATTCCAACGTTTCCACCAGGCCGGTAACCCAGTGGTCACTGGTCCGAGTCCGGTGGCGGTCCAAATTTTCATTTTACCTTCAACCATCACCCAGTATAAATACTAAAGCTCCCAAACCATGGCTATCCCTGATAGTCAAATGATATTGTAAGGGGTATTATTAATGAGGAAGATTATACATAAGTGGTTAAGAGATTGGAATGATCTGATAGGTGAGTTCTATTCTAACACTTCTTTCTTTCCACATTGTTGTGTGTTAGTTGAAAGCGTAAAGTCTTGCATAACTTCTTTTCATCCTCTCTGAGGAGATACAAGCAGGCATCAGTGAATAAAGGGGATACTCAGTATCAGATAAAATGACTGTGGACAGTTGCTTATTTGAATCCAAATGTCTACCAACCATAATGTTAGAAAGTTGATCCTTTTTAGAAGGTCAGAAAACGTTGACAGGGGACAATAAAGATGAAAAGGTGAAATACGAGAATTAATAGGTTGTAAATATAGAGGCTGAGTTATACCGGAGAGTTTCCCCTTCTTTATCTAATATGTTCAATGGAAAATTTTCTTAGAAGTCAACAAGATATGATACGACCAACAAAGATAAGAAAAAAGCTCAGTAAAAGATAGATAACGATCGATTTGCTTTCCATGTCGGAAGGACTGATATTTTGGAGGGTTTAGCGTCAGATCGTTTGAGAAAGATCATTGACCGACTTCAGACTGAAAAACTCATCCAATCGAAAACAGTCTGACCGAGAGGTAATAAGGTCACACACTATTAATTCATCAGGATACTTAGTTTTCAGTAGAATATGGTAAGTCATGCAAAAGGAGGTAAAACAGAAATGGAGAAAGTACTGCACATTAAGGCATACCCGCTGCAGTTAACAATAAAGTATAGCGCTTTCCTTTGTAAGAAAGCAGTCAGTTTGTTAATCCATGGCTCAGCATGTATAATGGCAAGCTTAGTTAACAAGAGTGGTCTAGAACAGAGTCAAAGACCTATGTGTTACCTAACAACAAATAGCGAACATACTTGACACCTTTGTCTGGACCAGAAGCAATAATATAATACAAGACACAAGGTAGCATATAGAGTACTTGTCCTATAATGATGAGCAAATTGTTTCGGATTCTTGAAAGCCTACAGTGAAGGTTCAAACACAAGTAAAAGTAATTTCTCTACTGTTTTCAAAAAATGAGAGTTTGTAGTGACTGGTTTTCTAAATTTCATACCTAGTCGATAGATAAACTAATTAATTTGCTAGCGCCAGTATTAAGGGTGTAAGCATATAAGATAGGTTGCCGAATACATTGGTAAGCATACGTGAAATGGAGAGTGGAATTCACATTTACCCGCTAGCCACCATCTATGAAACAAGTTGTCTAACTGATCTAGTGCCTATTTTGAACAGAAAAATTAACTATACATTGTCAACGCATGTGTCAACATTAGTCACTTTTTCTCATCCCATTCAGCAATAAATTGAGCTGTCAGTTATGATGATCAGTCACGTAAAAGTTAGGTTGAGGTCATAAATGATAACTCCAAGGCTTCATCTGAATAATATGGAAATAAATTCAAGTTGGAATACTTCCTGTTGTTGGATTAATTCAGCACTATGCGACGGTAATGAAGTATTTCAAGGGGAGCTTACGATGGATTCGTTTTCATTTACTTATAATACACCTGAAAAGGCTTATAATTATTGAATGTAACTGCTTAGTAACCTTAAGTATGTCTTTTTATTTCTCCGGTAAAAAAATTCAGGTATCATCGATTAACCGTGTACTGCGCAATGTTTGTAATGACAATCAATTCCCACTTTCATTTGGACCTAATGCTGCACAAAGTGATCACGCCAGTGCACATCCATTCAACTCAACTGCAAATAAGCAACATTCACTTCATCCGCATGAGAATCTACTACACCATCCTCATATGCAAAATCATCAGTTTGGTCTGCCAATAAATAGAATGCCAATGGTTGACTTTCCTTCACCAAATTTACATCTTATTATGAGTCAAGCTAATTCATGTAAGCAAAATTGTCCACTTTCTCTCACTACAAATCAAGTATCTCCGGGGTTAAATATACCTCCGAGATCACTGCAAGCATCACCTCCACGTTTTCATCATCCACACACAGCTACATTTGCTGCTGCTGCCGCTGCAGTTGTTCAACAAAATAATTTACCTTCAAATGTACCTGACTCACTTACATATCAGAATCGTTTGTGTGAAGTTAATGGAGTAACTAGTAACTCTTCTCTACCACCATCAATTCAGTCATCAACGAATATGTATGATACATTTTCAAATTTGTTACATCATGCAAATTGGCCATCATGGTATACATCAGCATCAGCATCATCTAATAATCAAATTCCATCCATACCTTTAAACATTAACAATAACACAAGAAGTTATAGTAACTGCCAATCGGAAACAAATGATATGAGACAACACTCAAATTACAGTAATATAACAAATTTCAATACGTCCAATGGAAATGATTTCACACAATTCAGCCGAACAGATATGAACAGTAATGAGGATAGTAATATTAAGGAACAAGTTTCTAATTTATCACATAGATCCACATCAACTGATTTAGATAACATGAACATTTTTCAATCATCAAAAAAGTTAAATCAATCGTCTCAACAACAAATTGGTTGTAATTCAAATTCATTGAGTAAAACTGATGAATTCGATTTTTTAATGAGAAATCATTCAGAATTATGTAAAAATATAGAGTATGAAGAAGATTTAACATCTAAATCTGATATACAATATCAGCTATATAAAAAATCATCAACTCTACAACAATCTCGAAAATCATCAAAATTACCAGGATTTTGTGATGGAACTGTCAATAATCATCAATTAGATCAGTCTCCTATTGAAACAAAGAAGAAATTAACACGATCAAGTAAGTTGAAATATTCAGTAGTGATGATGTGATGTGTCACAGGAATTTACAGTATCATATGAAATCTATCACGTAGGCACGATAACCACTTCTTGTACAATACATATTAGTTATTACTATTTATTGATATACTTGTAATTGTCGGTTGTTCTGTTGGATCGAATTGTTCAACGTCTATTGGCATCTGGGCTCTTATGAGGATGCCTCAATTTTGCTGAATGTTAATTATGATAATTTGCTTGGTTGTGGTGCAGGTATATTCACCTGACAAGTCCCGAATAGGACGAAACGCATGTCCTGGATTTTTCTGCTAACCACAACCAAGCGAATTATCATAATTAACGTTCAGGCAATGTCGAAGCATCCGCATAGGAGCGCATATGCCAACAGAGGTCGGACAATAAAACAACCGACAATTACAAGTATATCAATAGATAGTGATCGATTTCATGTTCAAAACGTCAGTTCATGAACAGTCTTATGATGATCTGTTCATGATGAAACCTTGAAATGAAATTAGTACGTCATTGTTTAATTTAGACAACTTTTTACCGATAGGATAGTTAGTTGAGATACTTCAAGATGATATGGGACATAGCTTAAATTGCTTATTTATATTTGTAATCTTGTGTTGAAAGAATTCACCAGTCTGTCTTAGCATATAGAAAGATACCCATGAGGAAACGAAAAGCCTCAACAAATAACTAGTGCTAACCGTTGCACAACGTGTGACTCGCATGGTTCAGTAGCCTAGTGAAAAATCCTTTGGGGTTTGAAGTGATGGGTACTCTTTTTGAGTTTCTTAAGGAAACACTATCAAGCATAGAGATGCAGGCAGATACAACTGACAAGCCTCAATTAGAACAATACACTGTCTGAAAGGCCAGCGAAGTGCTTTGATCTACGATAGAGAATATAAGAGAATGGTTCAAACTTAAGGCTACTGCCTTGAGATAAGGGAATGTATTACAGCGACTTATAAATATAACTGCCAACCGAATAATATGGGTTTCTTTTAGTCGCTTCAAAATAAGGGTTAACGTGTTTATTTCTGATACAGACGATAATATTAGGAATATGTAGTGCTTATGGTGAATCAGTGATGCAGTGGATAAAAACTTAACACTCGAAGTGAAAGTTACTGTGTTTAATTCCCAGTATAAGTACTAACAACCACCAAAACGTGAGGAAATACAACTGATGAGTGCCAAAGAGAATTAAACTGAAGTCCAATATTCCATTATTATTCTTTACGAAACAGTGAAATTTAATTTAATCGGCGGTTTTGAAGGAATTGACTGGGTTCATACAAGTTTTCGTCACATATCTACATCATTTTGGTGAATATTGGAAAACTAAATGCTCTGGATAGTTGTTTCCTCACGGTCTGTGATTCCTCAGAGGTGCGGATGCACTTCCAATGCTTACTTTTATTATTTATTATTTGTCCCTTGGGTTCCTGGTGCAACATACGGCTTCAGTAGCACGTCTCTATTTCACTCTCTTCTCTGCAATCTTTTCAACCTCGCTCCACTACTCACAACAACCTTTCATTTTTTCCTCACACGATCTCCTCCATGTCACCCTCTGGGGCCCAACTCGCTGTTTTCCCTTTGGGTTGCACTCAAGGGCCTGGTGCATGATGTTCCCAAACCGTCTTCTCAGTGTATGTCCAATCCAATCCATCTCCACTTTCTTCTGCATATTTTTTGGGCGATGGGTTCTTGGTTGGTTCGTTGCCAGCCAGCCAGCCAGAGTGAGTTCCTTCTTGCTGACTCTTATTATTCTGGCCATCTGATCTTCAGTATCGTGCTAGCGTAGGCAGCTGTTGATGATGTGTGTCTGTAGATTTTTGGGAATGCTTTTCGCAACGTCCCAAGTCTCTCAACCATCACAGAAGCAGTGACCCGACTGACATTAGTTTTGAAAATCCGGATGTTGTTGACGCCTTATGCTGAGTGCAGTGGAGTAGATCTCCACACTGATTTCAGATTAATGAAGGAAGGTCTGTCTTACTATCTTTCCAGTCCTGGCTTTGACGTGCTTATCTGTGTCGCCGCTGCCTGTAGTTGAGACGATGCTGCCTTGTCTAGTTAGGTGGAAGAGACTACTTACTTGAGATTTCTCCCACTGATGGTGATCCGTGCCACTTGCTGTTGTTGGTTTGGTATCTTCATCACTCCTGTCTTCTCTATGTTCACCGGAAGTGCTGTCTTCCTTCGCTGCTTTGCCTCTTCTGCCAACTTGTTAGTTTTGCCCGTAGATGTTCGAGTTTGTGCCGTATTCTACATTAGACATAAATCGTCATTGGCGAAATCTAAATCTACGAGGGTCTTCTCATCGATCAAACAGAGTATGCCCATCCACTCACTTTTCACAGTTTGTTGTATGATCCACTCCAGTAAACCACAGTCAAGAAGATCGTCAGCTACAGTAGACGGCAACCTTGTCTTACTCCCGTCTTCACCTCAAAGGCATCACTAAGCCTTCCATTGTGAATTACTTGGCATATAGCATGTGGCATAATATAGCATATAGCTGCTGTTGAATGAGGCTGATAAAGGTTTGTGGCACTAAAATTGTAGTGTTGAAGCAGCTGCCTGCCAAATTAATTCTTGGTCGATGCAATCAAAGGCCTTTTAAACGCCGATGAAGTTGAGGTAGAGTTAAGTAGACTGGCATTCTATACTCTGTTCTACAATCATGCGTAGCGTATCGTTGCAATTTGATACACACATGATTTGTTCGTCCTGAATTCAACCAGCCAGCCTGTTTCGGTGGTAACTGTGAATCCAGAGCACCTTTTAGTCCCTCCAGGATGATTTGGAATAATATTTGCTTGGAGTGGACATGAGCATGATTAAGCGTCAGTTCTTGCAAACACTTAGGTCGCCCTTCTTCGGGAGTTTGACAAAGTAGCCCTTCTTCCAATCAGTGAGCAGGTACCTTTCCTTCCTTTCAAACCTTCTGCAGTTGTGGTGTGAGCATGTCCACTCTTATCTCTGAGTCTGTTTTCAGTGCTTCTGGAGGAATTCCACCTGGTCCTGCTACTTTCACAGATTTCAGCAGTTTTATGGCATTCTGAACTTCTGCTTTTGTTGGAGAGTATGTGTTCGGTGGTAGTTCTGCCGTTGCTGATGGTATTTCTGGACGAGTTGCAGGTGGTGGTAGTGGTCGATTCAAGAGCTTTTTGAAGTATTCAGCCCATCATCTCCTTTGTTTATCTTCTTTGATGGTAACTAAGTTTCTTTCACTACCTTTCATTGGTTTCGTTTGAGTTGATCTCTTCCCTCCCGGATAGTAACCTGGTTATTTGATACAATGTTGTCAGGTTTCTGTCCCTCTTACCTGCAGCCTGTTCTACTTCACCTGCCAGTGTGTCTTAGAAGTGTCTATTATCTTTATGCACACTCTTCTTCACTTCTTTGTCCAGGGTTTTGTACGTTGTACTCAGTTCCTCTTTTCTTTATTCATACCTGCACTGCACTGCAGTGGTTCACCTTCTGCTTCACCATCTTACTCTCCCTCCTTTATCAGCTTCTATGCCTACGTCGAGATCCATTCCTTGTCCTGTTTTTCTTCTTTCCTAATACGGTTGTGCAGGTTTCCTTCCGCGTCTCTTTCAAAGAGTTCCAGTGCTCTCCCACGCAGGTTTCTTCACGTATGTTGCTTAGTGTCTCTCATTTTTTCCTGACGACTGATGTGATGATGTCTTTTATAGTTTCGTCCTTCAGTTCAGTTTCTGTTCTGGGTGTTCAGCTTGAACTGTGGTCTATCATCATTGAAGGCTTTCAACTTGATTTTGAAGGTTCCGTACACTAGACAGTGAGTGATGTGAACCTACATCTGCTCCTCTTCATGATTTAATCTTGTGTCCAGTAGGCTGCGTCTCCATCTCCACTTGCTTCACATTGAGATGAAGTCGATCTGATTTTTAGTGCAATATGTCCATCTGGTGAGATCAAATCCTTGTCACTTAGTGAATATCCTTGTGTTTGTACACACTGCATTCAATCACCAAATGACTGAATGCACAGAAGTTTGCAAACAGTTCTCCGTTTTCATTCAATTCACCGAGTACTTCTCGACCTATGATGAGTTCTGTCCTGAGCTGTCTGCTCCCAGTTTGGCCTTCATGTAACTCATTGGAATTTCGATGTCACCATCTGAAGTAGAGTCTTTTCCATCACTGATGTCACTTGTTTGTAGAATTCCTCCTCCTTCTTTTGATCCGCAGCGTAGCGTTTTATGTTTGTAACTTTCATTCCTTTTGATTTGAGTATTGCTGTCATGATCCCAAAAGGAGGCGATTGGTTCCCACTGTATGAGAACAATTGATACTCTTAGGGATATCATCCATAACTCAGTGTGCTCGGGGTTGTCGTCTGGGTGACAATATTGGAGTAGATTATTGACTCTTCTCCAGTTGACAGTTTGGAGAGTCCACTTCCATTCCATCTACTGACTCCTCATAGATTTCTATCACTTCAGTGCCATACCTTCTCATCTCTTTTGCAATCTGGGCAGCCTTGCCAGCCATTTTCAAACATTGTTCGGACATCCCATGTCCTCATCCTTACTTTCGCTTGCGTAGAGAGAAGAGAAGACACATCGGCTAACTGGATTCCCGAAGTCTTTCACCAACCGGCGTCATTTCTTCTCTTCGATTTCAGAGAAGGATAAGTTTATTTTTATTTTTTGTTTTCTCTGTGCTTTGAAATTTCTTTAGCGACTAGATTGGTTTTCCGGGGTAGGGTTGCTAGCCCTATCCTCAACCTTCCCTCTTTATCCGGGCTTAAGACCGGTTAGTAAACTAATGAACTAGTTAACTAGGCGAGGTTACTTCCAACGCTTCCGGAACTTTATTAGTTCTCTAACACCATGATATAAACTATTTTGAAAACAATGAAATGCGTTTGATATTATTGATACATGGTAGCTAGCAGTGCGATTCGGGAGACTTTTCATCCTATCTGGGACTCGTCAGTTGGACGTAACTTCTTCCCAGTGGGGGATATTTCTCCCACGATGACTTGGACACGTGACAAGCCCCTTCAAACAGCAGAGTGTTAACCAATAGGCCAGTGAATCATGACAGCCACTTGTACGAAGGGTATAGTATGGTGTTTTATTTTGTGACCTGTGCATTTGCCTATCTTAAAGGAACTGAATTCGAGGTAACAGTTTTTTTATGTAGAACTTAGACTTAGAAGTAGACTGAATATTCTTGGTGTTTATATGGATGATCCAGCTATGAAAACCGATGAGACTTCTTGACTGTTTCTTTAGTGGGTTTTAAATCAGGACCGATTTGCCACTTTTCATTGTTGCTGTCTGTTTACATTTACTGTATACTTTCGTTGCTTAATTACTTCCATCTTTCTGTATTTTTAAAAAAACACAGATACGGTCGTCAATTCATCTGAAGGTCAAATAGACCAGTCAACAGGAAATATGGAATTATGTAAAGTGGAGAATTCTAATGGTCAGTCTGTGCTACAAAAAATGCAGTCCAATTCTTACAATACTTGTGGAAGTCTTATATCAAATATCTGCTCAAAACAAACTTTCTCTGCTCCTGATTTTACTCCATCTGTTACGAGTCAAATCACTGATAATAATCCTAAAATTTGTTCAACACCTATGGAAGTACTGATGAAAACATATGGTAAAGAGAATTTTTCTCAGGTCCGTAATAAAAACAACTCTCAACACTGTTCAAGTCAACATTCTGCAGATAGATATGAAGGGATCACTTGTGAGATTAACAAATCATCAACTCACACATCTTCAATTTCTGAGGATAAGATATATGAAAAATCAAAACGTGAAGAAAATTCTGCAACCAATCCTAATGAAAGTAAAAAGTCAGGAAGAAATAGGACAGCTTTCACACCTGAACAGTTGGAAATACTAGAAGAAGGTGGGTATCTTATCATATTCCGTAGGTAATTTAGTTATCAGGAAGCAGAACCATAGAATACCGAATTTTGACATATTTAGTCTTTAAAGCTTCAATTTCGCAGTAATCACTATAGCACAATCATATTTAACAAACGTAGAAGTATTTCATGTATATTACTTATTGGTGCTTGTAATTTCCTGTAGTTATTCTGGATCGAATTGTTCAACCTCTGCTACCATATGGGCTTCTTTACGGATCCTTCGATATTGCCTAAACATTTATCATGGTAATTTGCTTGGTTGTGGCTGTTAGACGGATCCAGGATGCACGTTTCGTCCTGTTTCTTACTCGTCAGCTGAATGTACCTGAACCCTACTGAATGAACTTGTTCTTACTGAGACTCGAACCTCGTTCAAATTGCTTCAAATAGCAAAAGGTTACCCACTAGATCAATGGGACGCCAAAGTCATCTCTTGTGAAACGGATATCATTTACAGTGACAGCAACATCAGTCATTAAGGTCCAGGTACACCCAACTGACGTGTCCTAAATGGGACGAAATGCCCATCGTGGACTCCTCTGCTAGCCACCACCAATCAAATTACTTCAAGCATAGTTCATACCAATATAGATTTCAATTTCAAAACATGTTTAATAGGAATAATCTGAAATCTAATACTTTAGTCGGCTGGTTCCAAGATTTGATGTCCGCTTCAACAGCTAACCATCCAGTTTTGCATCCATACAGTACATCGATAAGATTGCTACTAAGTTTCCAGAATTCAGAGAAAATTTTGTGAGTTATTTTCCTGTTCCTAATCATAGTTTCAATAACTGTGTACAATTGTGCGCTTAACTTATTGTTATCAGTATTGTCACTTTCTACTTTCAGAATTCGAACGTACACATTACCCTGATTTATTGATTAGAGAACAACTTGCACAATCTATGCTATTACCAGAATCACGTATACAGGTTTGGTTTTCGAATCGCCGCGCAAAATGGAGACGTGAAGGTAAAGAGTTAAACTCAAATAAACAAGAAAAATCACGTACGCCTAGTTTAGATGAGAATCAAAGCAATGACCAACAGTATGGAATCAATTGTTCAATGATCAGTAAAACACAAGATTATGTACGAAATAACGATGAGTTGGGTCAGTTAAATATGATTAAACAGAAATTTGATTATGATCATATTCATTCAGATAATTTCTTAGAACTAAATCATCATCATCATTCACCTGTTTATCACAATTATCATCAGTTAATTACTCCACAGAATCGCCAGCAGCAACAACAGCGCGAACAAATGAATATTGACAGAAAAGAACATGTGAATATGAATTGGTCGTATATGCCTACACCAGTTCATCAAGAGGTAAGTACTTCTAATGAAATACCGATGTACGGTCAGATATTTTAAAGGTAAACATTTTATTATAACACCTACCCATGAATGATATTCTTCCAAAGGTCGGTGACTGAATTTCACGGATTGTTACCGCATTCAAATAGTCGAGTTCTGGGTCACCTGTGTGACTAAGTAATAATCGCCTCCCTTTTCTCGAGACATTTATAGTGGGATACTACTGGATTTAAGTAGAAATGAATCTTGATTGCTGTATATCTGAGATAAACATATAAAGCACGATGTTACAAATATAAACAGAGATTGTAGATACGCCTTGCTGACGAGTGGTAACAAGCATGAAACCTATATCAAGGGCTTCTTGCTGATTGCTCTCAACCAACTAGCACCCATCCAAGTCCACCACGAGGGCAACTTTCCTAGGCTGGTGGTCATATTGCGGAATGATAGACAGAATTCGATCAGCACTCAGGACTACATAATATGAGATTAGTTGCTCTCCAGTGATCAGTCAGTGTATGAAATCTAAAGCTTTCTAGTAAAAAGTAACCCGCACTGATAGCGAACTTGATTTCTCATCCCAATCAGATTTTTTATCTACATCAGTGACGTATAAATCTATCAATAAAGTGGATAATTTACATTCACCAGGTCAACAGTCTACTCATTCAAAGTTATGTAAGTAAATAAAAAAATTAGCAATAGTCTCTTACACCTTGATACTAAATCTTGTAGTCACAAATATTGAAAGTAGTATTGTCATGAATTCTGAAGTACTTTATTGAATAATCTTATGATGAATAAAAGTCTAAAGTCATTCCACAGGTTTACAGAGAAATGATATATTTCAGGAGTTTTCATAAGAGATAGGTATCAGTCAAGGAGTTAGTGAACACTGGACAGTTGTTCTATCTCAATTTGGCACTCTGCAGAAGCTTACACCAACGATTCTTTGCAGGGTGAAGTCCAGGGAAATCACTTATTATGGAGATTACATTAATATTCAGCTACTTTGTAAGAATTAACTGGTTCGTGGTTTTCAAATTTTATGAAATAGTGATAGAATGTAAGCACAATCCATCCTCAGATAGATCTCAGTAATTTTTCTCTAAGCGGATGAATGTGATGGTGTTCACCAGGAGAAAATCTTCTCCTCAATAATCGATAATGCCATAAAAACAGAAAATTACTAATTTTGTATCTTTTACGTCCGAATAAATATCAGCTGTGACTTGAATCCTTGCTTTCATTAAAAATTACCTGCTTTCAGATAATTTATTACTCATGACAAGTTCATCCATAATATACCTACTTTCATCAGTGTAGCTGGGTGACATGTGTACCTTTTACAAAATCTTATGCTTATAACGGTGCAAGATTTACTAAGAGCATTGCCTACAACTTGAGGCAGAAAGGTTTCCATTTTTACTCAAAGAACAACTGAAAGGAGGTGCTATTGTGAATAAGGAGGAATTCAATTTTTGTCCAGTCCCTCTTTTTTTTGCTTTTTTCCAGCTTAACAAAGTTTCTCCGTTTCCCTGCCTAACCTTAGTAAAACATGAGTCCATTGTATAAGATTCTTCTAACAGTCATTATTACCAAAACGTTGCGTCGTACCAAAAGTATTTCCTTTTGTTATCTTTTTGCAGCTTTCATCCCCTAAAAAACTACCAACCTACTCGGAACGATTTGTCAGTTTGAATGAAAATTCTCATCAGTTGAATACATCAAATCATCTTCGAGAAACAGAAACCTATACAGTTTTAAATGATGTGACACGTTTAAATTCACCGCCAAACACGCATACAAATAAATTAAAACATTCACAAATATTGAATACAGATCAGAATGATTTATCTGATAAGTTGAACTCAAGTGATACACTGATATCGGTTAACAGTTATAATGATGGTGGAAATTCTGATTGTAAAGACAATCATGATATTATATCGAATTTCAAGGTTGATCGAACACCATTTATGAATTTAGAATTTTCAAAACTAACTTGTTTGTCATATAATCAGTTACCTGAAATGACTAACATCAGAAATAACGGTGTTATTGCCAGCAGTTTATTGCGTAGTGTGCATACATCCAATGGAAATGATTCATTTGATCTACCTCATGGAAATGAAGAACAGGCTGAAATAGAGTTAATCGACAAACCTCAAGCAATTCATTCAAAGGATATTTTTAATCATTTAATTGGGGATTCAGACTACCAACCAATATGGTTGAATTCGACTGACCAAGTACAAAGTTATAAGAATGATCAATCAAATCCTTTAATATGGTCTGGAATGGCATATCCTCAGCCAAGTACCCTTTCAACTGATTCTGGAATTGGTTCCCCACCTCCTCCCCCAGCATTTATTCTCCCTAATAATGGCATTGTTAACACTTCTACTGGTTTTGTTGGTCATAACGGCGGTTCAACACCTCACTTATTACCACAAGTACTCCCAAATACTTCTCATCTATCTTCTATGGCAGCAGCAGCTGCAGCAGCTGCTGCCGTTGCAGCTTGGAACAATAACAATAATAATTCTTCAAATTTCATTCAAACTCATAGCTTAACACCAAAATCTTGTATGTTATCCTCTGATTCTGATGTAGTGCTTAATTCTCATGAATCAACACCAATAAATTATGGTCAATTAGGCAGAATCAACTCTGAATTTCATCTAGTTTCCAATTCTTCTACACCGTCAACAATTGTACAAAATCCATGTTCTCCATCAGCGTCATCTTCATCTTTGTCAATGTCTCATTCTTCGTCTACATGCTCTGCACAAAACAACACAGCTGTCAATTTTGATTTGAGTAATTTAGTTACACAAAATGCTACAACTTGTGTTAACACTAATACTACTACTATTAACAATAATATTAGTAGTACTGGTTACTATGATTTTTCACGTTACTTTCATTAATTTCAAATAATTTCTTTTCACATTTATTTTACACAAACTGTACTTAGTTTATAACTAGATGCACCTATAAATATATAGTGCGAAAGACACAACTGACTCTATTAATGATATTGAAGTGACTTTGTTTTACAGAAATATATACCAATGCATGTCTGAATACATATACAATTTTTAAAGTGTAAATCATGAAGATATTTTGTAAATATTGCTCAAAATGATTAGTAATAAAGTTGAATGAATTATGCATGTGAAATAGATTCCAATTGTTTTGCATTAATGCAAGAACAAAGACATTTATAGAATACAATGAGCTCATTTTATTCCATGGCCTTTCATCAGCTGTAAACAGCCTATAATTGAAGTAAAATATCAGTAGTAATGATAGTGACACTACAGTATGTAATATACTTTGAATATATAGAAATAAACGAAGATTTGAAATCCAGTATTAACAATAAAGTAGAGAGTCAGAAAGACGCAGGATTACTAATCACAAATCTTAATCAAAATTAGTAGCGATTTACATCTAAAATAGGAAATTCTGGAGCTTTGGAGTAGGAGGAGGGAACAAACGAAGCTAAGTGTAAAAGAAGGGACTGTTTAAGAGCTAATAGGTTACGTAATTATATACAAAACTGAACTATCGTTGAGCGATTAACATTCAATAGGTAAGTGATGAAGAGATGATGCAACCAAACGAAAAGGAAACATACATAAACATGCATATGGGAAAAATCATATACAGTTACCAAGTTAAAGAAAGGTTAATTACAGTCTCTTTCTGAGTACATAGGCCAGGTTGAAAATGTTTGATAGTCACAGCTTCCGTAAACCGTAATAAACAAGGCGTTCTTTGTTTGTTAGTTATCCTGAAGGATTGATGTCTTGTTTCCATTAGGTACCTGGTGATAACCAACAAACAAGGAATACCATGTTTATTACTATTTACACAAGCTCTCACCATCAACCATTTTCAACTTGGCCTATGTACTCAGAAAGAGACTGTAATTAACCAATCTATACCCTGGTAAACGTACATAATTTTTTTGTAAATGTATGTTTATAGTCTCCCCTCTTTTTTTATTTCATCATGTCTTCATTAATTACTATATAGTTAGTTGGTTGGAGGCAATCCGCAGGAAGCCATGGACCTAGGTTTCGTGCTTTTCGGCACTCGTCAGCAAGATGTATTTGAAAATCCAACGGAACTGATGTCCCGCCTGAGATCCAAACGCGCGTCACCTAGTGTTGTAGTCAGCGACTTTACCACTAAGCTATTCGCGCCGCGATCGATCTCCTGTAGGACTACCTTACATGTATTGATTGGTCACGGGAGTGCAACCAATTTCGTGTTGTCTAGTTCTGAGTGCAGACAGAACTCTATCGATCATTGATTACTTACTGACTGTTAATCACTCAACCTAGCGTCTTTCAACTTTTTTCATGTAATTACGTAACCTACTAACCAGCCTTTTACACTCTTGCCTGTTTGTTATCCCCCCCCCCACTTCACAGCTCCAGAATTTTATGTTTCATCAGATGTAAACTGATCTTGACTAAGGTTTGTGATTAGTAATCCTGTGTCACTCTGAGTCTTTACCTTATTGTTAATCCTCGATTTCAAATCTTGGTTTATTTCTACATATTGACAGTATATTACACGCTTTAATGTCGTTATCACTACAACTAATATTTCACTTAAATCATAGGCTGTTTGTAGCTGATGAAAGGCCATAAAATAAAGTGTGCTCATTTTATTCTGCAAATTTGTTTGTTTTTGCATTATTCAGATTTGTCAGTGTAGCCAATTTTTTGTTAGACCAGTGGAGCTACTTATTTCCACAGTAGTTTTCAAAAGAGAACTAATTGAACATTGGGAGAATACAGTATGATAAAAAGATATTGCTCATCAGCGACGCTTCTCATGAACCTCTATAGATTTTGGTTCACAATAAAGCCTACCCTTCTAGTTGGCTGCTTCCTTTAGAAAAACTAAACAACTTTGATATCCAATTAGAGGTAGAAAAATGCTTGATCATAAAAATACGATTATGTGGGAGTACTCTTGATTAGAAAACTGACTTATATGCGTGAATACTGTTATGGGAACTGGTGTTTAAAATGAAAGGCCCGTTGACTTGAAACTGGAGACATTGGCTTCAGATTCAATTGCCTACTACTCTACTAGCTCACTTGATAGACCTGATTCAAGTATCAGGTGGTTGCATTGAGACTGAGATCTGACTAACAGTTCGGTCACTCAATTACTTGCTAGGTTAGAATTTCAATGGCAGTGACTCTAAATCTATTGAGGAGGAGATGGAAGGGAATTTTTAGACATAAAATACAAAGCGATTAGTGCCAATTAGCAAGATGTACTTATGTTCATGATGGAAAGTATAACACCTAAAGAGATTGAAACGTGAACAGTAGTTCATTCGCTTACATTAATACTAAGATGGTAATAATCTAAGTGAATCAGTATTATTCTTTTTAGAGGCTAGTAAGGATCCATTGATGTCAAGTTGGTATCAATAAAGGACTGATATCAACTGAAGAACCATTGAAAACTTAGCAGTGCTGGAGAGCTGTTTTGTCCTAGCGTAGGGCTTGTCAACAGGGAGCACCTACGACCTCGCCAGGGATCAAATACCAACGTGAAATCAATAAATCCCCCTAAACCTTCAAATGGAATTACTATACAGTTCTCACTAATGACTTACTTTGAGATGAGATTTCTTGAAATTCTGATGAGAAGTTGTAACCAGTGGAGCCAAGCAAATCTAAGATGAGTAAAGGTATTCAGCGACGACATTGGATAGGGGCTGTGATGCATTGTGAACTGACAGAAGTAGGAAATACGGACCACTAGATAATGACCCATTGGCTCAATGATGACGAGCTTGTTCTGGGTTCGATTTATGGCGGAGTTATGGGTGCGCATTGCTGAAAAGTCCTATGCTACTACGAAACAGCTGTCCATTCCTCTCAGGACTTCACTGGTTCTCTAACTGATGATTTCACTCCATGATCAATAATAACCTGAAGTAAATGATTAAGTTTTCTGGAAGTGAATGAACAAAACAAAATGAAAACACCGATGACTTTTTGATTTAGTTTAACAAATTTCTAGAATAAACTACAGCGGAAATAATAAATTTACTCGCAGAAATGACTTTCTAAGAGTTTTAGTATTACTTGAAAAAACGGGGTTTTTAAAACTTAAAGTGTCAAGTAGATTATTACAGTAAAATCAAAGTATACCATAGGAGAAAAAACAATTACAGTGAAAAAAAGTTTTACTTTTGCATAAATTCATTCCCTTAGTTGCGTAATCATGAACATATGGTATAAATTATAGAACATTGCAGGCTAATTTCTGATCAAAGATTTGTATAAACTGCATGATAAAGGATAGTTGGGTAATGTCTGTAGGCATTTAAAATAGGGGAATAAAGAAAACGACTACAAATTAAAAATATAGTTACGTCACAAGGGAATTATTTACCGGCAAGATGGCTATGATGCCTCCATTTTACCTGTGCTCTTATGAAAGTAATGATGGATAGTGGCTAACAGTGGAATCCAGGATGCGCATTTCGTCCTATTTGGGACCCGTCAGTTGGGTGTACCTGCTTCCCAGTGAGTATTGTTCCCACCTGGATTCAGACTCGGGAGCGACTGCTTCAAACGCTAGAATGTTATCCACTAGACTGTCGGGCCATGACAGTCACTTCTTGTGCGAAGGGCTTAGTCTTTAGTATATGTAATTGTTTTTATATCACCGTCGTTGATTGGACTGAATCGATCGCTCCCGAGTCCGAATCCAGGTGGGAACAACATCACTTACCTAAGGAGCAAGAACCATCCATCTGACGAGTCACAAGTAGGACGAAATGCACATCCTGAATTCCACTGCTAGCCACTATCCTTCATTACTATCACAAGAGCACAGGTAAAATCGAGGTATCTGCCAATAGAGACCGATCAATTCGGTCCAATCAACGACGGTATGATATAAAATAATTAAATAATGAAGAAAGAGACTTTACACACTTTTTTTGACTGGGCAATGATGGTTTGAATTTTTGAATACTAATGCTTCAGCTGTACTCCGATGCGTTCACTTTACTTCTTTCGGATGGCTTACAGGGACTTGTAGAAAAGAGGCTTCTTAGATGTACAAATGGTGTAACCCACTAGAAAACATGGGCATTGAAAATGGAGGAAATGAGAAGACTTCAGGTGTTCGACCACGTAACCTTCGTAACACAGGGTATTTGCCATAGTGCCACTACGTCAGTCATGTGAAAATCAGGCATACAGCTTTAAGCAGAAGAAATAAGTCAGTTGATGAGGTTTTCAACCTATATCGATTCAGGTGACTGCAGCATATGCTACTCACGCCTAGTCACTGTCTACTCAGTCGCATAATATTATCTTGAATAAGTACAGGGTGAAGATGTATGCTATAGGTGGACGAAATAAAACTTGGTATCAAACCATTAAATCTGTCACTCATGATCTCAGCCATGTAATGCAGACTTCTTGGTTAGAGTTGGTGCAGCAACGGAATTCAGCTGTTGAAGACTGTTGGCAATATAGTTTGGAATCTATGTCAGTGGTGCAGATGTACCCACACATTATCTTCATTTTAATCATCATACCAAATTTAATCATTGTTTCATTCCTGCTTACTCTCCTCCCATGAGCTTCTACTACTTTTGACTATTTTGTTCCCTAACTGTGTATCTTTCATCTTGATGCTTTCTTGCTTAACGTATTAGCATGTGGTGTGGTAAATTGAACCTCCAGACAGTAATACCAAGTCCCACATTGATGCCCACTGTCTGATAGAATAAGAGGCGATTTGTAGCCTTTAAGACGATGAAAAATAGATTAATTCAAGAATTTAGAAATGTATACGTCATGAAGTCTGGTGACAAAATGCGGACAGTCAAATGTTAAAGAGTGATTCATAGGTTTCCAATCAGAGTCATTTTGGGATATCGAATTTGTAGCCAATAAAACTAATTATTCACCTATGAAGTAAAGTATTTAACTTGGTTACAATAAAAATGATAAATTTTCAAATATTTTTATTAATAGTGAACTAAAATGAATTGGAGATTATTGCTGATCAGATTATTTACGTGTACATTGTACTGTTTTTAATAACAGTAACCGAGATCTGACCTTAATGAAACTTACACTATACTTCTCAAGATTCACTTAACTCTATTTGGTTTT